CAGAAAACAGGGAGGTTTCTCTAAATAACTGCAGATTCTGTTAAGGTGAGTGTGTGAATTTTGCGTCTTTGTGTTGTTTGGCATTTCAAACAGATCCAGTTTAAAGACCTCAGATCCAAATCAACCCGAGAATCTATAAATGTCAAAATCATGTTGAATAGCTCCCTATTTTTATTTTGAAAATGCTTTCAGTTAGTAAATCGATTAACACTGATGGGTAAAAAGTGAAAATTTAAGTCTTTATGAATCATTACATTTCTCGGCCTTACAAAACAGAGGACAAGAAAAACAAAAACAATAAAACAATTTGGCAAATCAAATTAGTTTTACATTCAGTTTACTGTTTTTCCATTTGTATCCAGACCTGGAAAAAAGGTTAAAGAAATATCAAAACTTTTCAAGACTGAATATTGAGGCTGCTTATCACGTACACAGCAGAAATGGGTACATTCATGGAGTGATTTATTAGTTAGCAATAAAAGCACTTAAACATTCTTCTGTGCAAACGAATTCAACATTAAAGCAACACTGGAACATTTGACCAAAGTATTAACTTTGATGATTTTTCAGATTAACATCCAGCACTTTGTGCGTGTCGATAACTAACCTACATAACCTGAGAGGGTCAGACATGAAGTCAGAACTCTGTTAAAAGCGTGTCAAAAGGTGTCATAAATACCATGAGTAGTTTTATTTAAACAAACTAAAGTAAACTACATGCATGTTTTATGTGCGCAGATTCACAACCTGCAGGCCTGTAATGTGTCACAGCCATTAGTCCATACTTCTCCTCTGCATCCACGGCTTACTTTTCATTCATCTGTAGGTTCTTTCCTACTATTTATGTTCCTCATGTCAACTTTGATCACACTGACGGTGGAAGAAACCTGAGAACGTAAACTGCCTGTGATTGGCCGCTTTTCAGAAAATCCCACCTCTTCAAACAATACTGGTAGCAGCTAATAACGTTTGCAACGCATCTTCTTCTGGCTAATATTAAAGAGCAGAAGTCATTCTTCATATCTAACAGCCTTCTCTGTCATCAGCTGATCATTTATAAACACAATTCTGGACACCACAGGAAAAAAATCTAAACAGTAGCAGCAAACTGACTATAAATAGTCAGTGGACAGGTTGCATCACAGTAAAATGTGAAGCTAACATGAGCTTCACTCTTATGAACTTAACATCAATTTCAGAGCATGTGGCTACACATTAAATTGATTTATTTAATGATAACTTCAGTTAACCAATTTTTTGGCGTTTCATAAGAAGCAACTACTAGCCTAAAGATGCTTTGCTAAAGTTACTGGAAAGAAAACACTACTGTCTCAAGAGCAGGATTTCTTAAACGTAACCGATTACAGGCAGTTCACTTTTTTAGTCTGGTTCTTAAGACGGAGTATTAGGGCCAGGCTACAGATTTTTCTTTTTTGACAATAATGTTGTAACATTACGAGAATAAAGTCATCATTCAACAATCCGTTTCAGAAAGAAAGCTTCGAGCCCCGACCAGCATATGATGGCCGACCAGCGCCACCAAACATCAACTTTGACATGATGCCAAATTTGATGTTGGTGCTAAAAGATTTCCTTATTAGTTAAACCAGAGCCAAAGTTTAACTTCACATGATGACATTCCTCATTTTAAGTAAGAAAGTGCTTCTTGTAAGAGTTGTCAATTTTAGGACTTTGTTCTCTCAATATTACAACTTTATTCATGTCATTTTATTACTTTATTCTCGCAATTTTATAACTTTATTCTCCTAATTTTATTACTTTATTCTATTAATTTTATTACTTTATTCTACAAATTTTTTTTTACTTTATTCTACTAATTTTATGACTTTGTTCTCATAATGGTATGACTTTATTCTCCTAATTTTATTACTTTATTCTCCTAATTTTATTACTTTATTCTCCTAATTTTATGACTTTATTCTCCTAATTTTACGACTTTATTCTCGTAATTTTTTTTTACTTTATTCTCGTAATTTTATGACTGTTTTCATAATGGTACGACTTTATTCTCCTAATTTTATGACTTTATTCACGTAATTTTATTACTTTATTGTCGCAATTTTATTACTTTATTCTGGTAATTTTACGACTTTATTCTCCTAATTTTATGACTTTATTCACGTAATTTTATTACTTTATTGTCGCAATTTTATTACTTTATTCTGGTAATTTTACGACTTTATTCTCCTAATTTTATGACTTTATTCTCGTAATTTTACAACTTTATTATAATAATTTTACGACTTTATTCTCCTAATTTTATGTCTTTATTCTCGTAATTTTACAACTTTATTATAATAATTTTACGACTTTATTCTCCTAATTTTATGTCTTTATTCTCGTAATTTTACAACTTTATTATAATAATTTTACGACTTTATTCTCGTAATGTTTGAACTTTATAGAAGAAATAGAAGAAAAAAAATCTCCAGCCTGGTCCTAATACTCCTTCGTAAGTTCTACCCCTTAAAGTGACAAAGAAAAGACATGAGGGCACAGAAACAGGTTCACATGTGAGTAAGAGCGAATCTATGGGCATAAAAGCAGGACAATGCAGAGAAGCTTGAACTGATGCTTGGAGCATATTGGAGGCATCCTGTTATAAAATCTACATGCATAAAATATTCCAAATATACAGGGAGTGTAGTTCATATGCCTGCTGTTTAAATTCAACTGCACATACCAGTATTTATTACACATTTGCATTTTTCGAAGAATTTAAACTTAATAGGACTCTTTGCTGAATGAGTCCTGTAAACAAATATGACACTTTACTGTAGTCCGAATCAAGGTTACTGAGGTTAACTAAAACTAACGGAAATATATAAAAAAATAAAAATAAAACTGTAATAAGAGTTTACAAAACCAATAAAAACTAGCTGAGTTTTAAGAAGCTTTATTTTGTGTTTTTAACATAAAATGAGGTCTAGTTTTTTAGCGCTTTACGGCATTACACCCTCAGATGGCAGGCATTACAGTCGTGCTGCAGTGGTCTGTCCATATTTGGGATTTTATCTCTTATTTATTCATTTATTTTAATTTTTTTGTCTTGTCAGTGGTTTTGCATAAAAGACTAGAAATATAACTGAAACTAATAAAAACTTAACTGAAACTAAGCATTTTCAGAAAATAAGCGAACCAAACAAAGTTAAAAAAAATAAATCCAATGGACTTTTTTTCCAAGTTTGAAGACACTTTGCTTCCCATCCAGGAAGCTTTTTCAATCCTTTCAATTGCTTTTCAATAGAAAAAGCTTCTCGGATGGTAAGCGAAACGTCTATAAACTCGGAAACAAGGTCCAGTGGATTTCTTTTTTTACTTTTTTTGGAAAGACTATGACCTTGATGAATGAGAATCTTCACCAGCATAAACTAGCAAACAAATACTAAAATCAAATGAAAACTAAAACAGAAAAGTCACTCAGAAGTCAAAACTGAATAAAAAGAACTACTAATTAAAATCTCCAAACTATTTCAACTTTTTTGTTCTGACCTCCATGCTGCGCTCCCCTTAAACATGAGAGCTAACGACGCTAAAAGGAGTGTTAGCCAAAAATACAGTAGTAGTTCCTTGTCTCCACCCAATACGTCTCGGAAGCACATCCGTTCTGCTCATGCGCCATCAGCTCATTGGTGCATCCAGAGA